AAGTGATCAGATCTCATCTGTTCTCTCCAGTTAAAATCTAATGTATACCTGAAAAGAGCCAGCTGGTTGTTAGCAGTGGCTTTCCATTGATAAAAGTTAACATGCAGGTTCAGTTGGCAGTTAGGAAGGCAAATGCAATATTAACATTGATTTCAAGAGGGCTAGAATACAAGACCAGGGATGTAGTGCTGAGGCTGTATAAGGATCTGGTCAGACTGCATTTGGAACATAACGAGCAGTTTTGGGCCCACCATATAAGGAAAATGTGCTGGTATTAGAGGGAATCCAGAGATCTACAGGATTGATCCCAGGGTTAAAAGGCTTGTCATACAAGAAACAGCTGAGGATTCTGGGTCTGTGCTCAATGGAGTTGAGAAGGATAGGAGGAGGAGTGGTCTGATTGAAAACAATAGAATACTGAGAGGTCTGGATAGAGTGGATGTGGAGAAGATGTTTCCACAAGTAGGACCCAAAGGCATAACCTCAGGAGTGAAGAAATGACCATTCAGAGCTGAGGTGAGGAGGAATTTCTTCAACCAGAAGATGGTGAATCTGTGGAACTCATTGCCAAAGGACTGTGAAGGCCACGTCATTGAGTGCATTGAAGAGAGAAATAGATAGGTTTTTGACTGGTAAGGGGATGAAAGCTAATGCGGAGAAGGCACGAGAATGGGGTTGAGAAACACATCAGCCATGATTGAATGGAAGAGCAGATTTGATGGGCTGAATGGCCTAACTCTGCTCCTATACCTGTGGTCACATGGAATTCCAAGTATAGATTATGTTCACTGAATAGTTCAGCTGTTCACCATCTCCCATATGCCAGAGATCAAAACGCAACTGATAGACAGTAGAGGCAGCCAAGTGGAGGTCAATGAGCTTGCAACTGGACAGCTGGTTGGCTATGTGCGGCATCACCAACAGCACAAGTTCAATTCCCACATTAGCTGAGGTCATTATGAAGGCCGCTCCTTCAAACTCACTCAAGGTGACACCCTCTGGTTAAACTCTAAAGAGAGCAGCCCGTGACCATCTGTGACTACGCACAAGCAAGTGGATCTTGTCATTGAAGAAACAAACATTTGGACTAGGCACAAAAAACAAAACTGATCAAAACCTAAGATCTTAAATAGTTTAAATCTCAAGGTGACTCGCAGGTAGTGGTGGCAAAACCAACACCACCGTCCCCTCACTTTTGGGTGAAATTTCCACTTCACAGCTTACAAAACCACTGAACCATAAAGAAGAAAGATCTCACTGTCTCGAGTCAGATAGCAACTAGCAGCCCAGTTGGTTAGCATAAAGTACAAGTCTTTGCTGGTTATCAGCCGAGTCTCAGTGAATAGCCCTCACCTCTGATTAATGGAGGCACAAGCAAAGAACTCAGGTTGACACCCCTGACAGGGAACACGGTGGTGTGCTGAAGTGGCAGGCAATTGGAAGCTCGGGGTCATTTTTACAGACAGAATATAGATATTCTACAAAGCGGTCACGCAGTCTATGTTTCATCTCCCCGGTGTACAGGAGACCACATCGGGAGCAGTGAATACAGGGGACTAGATTGAGTTGAAGTGATGTTAAAGCATTGTTTCACCTGGAAGTTGTGCCTGGGTCCATGGATAGGGAGGAGGGAAGGTGATAAACAGGCAGGAGTTAGACATCCTGTAATTGTAGGTAGGGGAAGGTGCTGTGGGATGTAGGGAGGTTTTGGGAATGGACCAGCATGCCCTGAGGGAATGGTTCTTGCAGAAGGCTGACAAGGGAGGGGAGAGAAATATGTCTAGCAGTAGCATCCCACTGGAGATGGTTGAAATGGTTGATGATGATCTTTTGAATGCAGAGCCTGGTAGGGAGCAGGAGGCCACTATCACAACAGGAGGTAAAGGGTGAGGGCACAAGCACAAGAAGTGGGCTAGATACAGCTGACAGCTCATAGCCATTGGTGGAGAATCTTCATTTAAGAACAATAAAAGTAGACATGTTGATCCTGCTTGTGGAAGGTGACACTGTCAGGAGAGGTTGTGGAGATAAACTTGGGAGAAATGGAATGGGGTCTTTATAGGAAGCAGGGTGTGAGGATGCATTGTCCAAGGAACTATGGGAAGCAGTGGATTTGTAATGTATATCAGTGGCAACTCTCTCAGAAATGGAAACAGATGTTGAGGAAGAGAAGGGAGGAGTCTGAATGGACCAGGCAAAAGAGAGCAGGGTGGAAATTGTAAGCAAAATTGATAAATTGTTGCCAAACCTGAACGAGAAGGGGAAGCAATACTGATGTCAATATACTGGAAAAAGTTTGAGAGACCATACCTCAAACAGACAGGCAGAACTGGGGCCCACATGGGTACCCATAGCCACCCCTTAAACTTGGAAGAAAATGAGATGCATTTAAGAACCAGGACTAGCTCAGCCAGGTGGAAGAAGCTGGTGGTCAATGGGGACAGTTCAGACCTTCTCCCCCCCCCACGAAGCAGGAGAGAACCCCAAGACTGATTTAAGGATGTTGAGTATGTGAAGAGCATTGCTGGATTAGGTCAGCATGAACCAGTCATATTGAAGCCATAAAAGTTACCCTAAAAACAGGTTTGTTTTTAAAATACATTAGATAATCAATTTCAAGGTGTTTCATTTGCAGCTATTGACTCAAGTTCCACAAGTAATAAAGAGATTTGGCTTCCAAATCAGTTTCTGGCTTGCTATTCCCTTAAACCTCCTACTTTGGAGTAATTCAAATTGGCCACACATTAACTTGAGCACCCAACAAGGCCAGTTTCTCTAGTCTAGAGAAATAGCTAGATGTATCACCCATTCTCCTGCCCTACTTCTATATTCTGATCTGAGACAACAGGCACCAGACTGAGAAAAAAAAATAATCAGTTGAAGGGACGGACTGCAAGGGCATAGCTGGCCTACGGAGATGGAAGGAACCTCTAGTACAAAAGTTATGCAAAGAAACTGGAGGTTTTAAAGTGAATAAATTTACTTCCCTTAAATACAGTGGTAGGATCAACTTTAAAACTGTCCAGTTGGTCATTTGTTTAATTCTTACATGAGAAGTTCATCTGATTAGCCAAACAGGGATGCCATTCAGCCTCATGTCCATACCTCTACTTTTGCATTATACTCCTTACCCAACATCCACAATCATTAGAGACAATGGCAATCCTTCATTTTAAATTGTTTCTTTCAGTCATCTAAACAACTGGGCAAAGGCCAGAGGTTAATATCTTGCAACTATATATGAACCCCAACAGTTGAATGTTAGAACTACTCTCAGGAACAGACTGTTGACAACCCTCTTTGTAGAGTTTTTAAAAAGCTACAGTTCTCACTCCCCCATCAAGTGAGAAACCTGCTAGAGCACTAATTAGAGTTAGTCCCAGTGCCTGCAGACTCAGGGGAAGGGTGAAAATCTGAGCAGCACTCCCATTTCAGGTTAATACCCAATCAAACCCAGCTATAGAAAGAAAAAACATGGACCTCAAAATCAACAATATGCCCACTAGAGTTAGAGGCGAGAGGAGAAAGATGTTTAAAAAAGACCTGAGAGGCAGGTTTTCAGAAGGTATGTATGGCATGAACTGTGAGGTGCTGGGTACAATTACAACATTTAAGACATATGGATGGGTAAATGTACAGGAAGGGTTGATGGGTTTGGCCCAAATACCGGTCAACAGGACTAGATTACAATTTGTGGGTCAGCAGAGGAGTTGGACCAAAAGGGTCTGTTTCTGTGGCTTTACAACTGAATTAAATAGTTGAGTTAAACAGGTCAGTGCCAAGGTCTGAGCCTCTGGGATAACAAGTATAAAACAAAAAAGTGAACTACCAAAGTATATTCTGAAATGCAATACTGGAAAGAACTTGTCACTGTTCTAAATGACATGAAGTGTTGGAAAGGTAGAGATGTAACTGGAGTCAGGGATATTAGCTGTCAGAGACACTAAAGATTATTCCATTAGGAATATAAGCACACTTATGAATTACAAGAGGTTGTCAAGGCTGGAAAGTCAAGTTCAAAGTTGTAACCCAGGCAGGTTCAGCAATGTTGTCACTGGGCTGGCAATCAGCCAATGATTAGATCAGTGAAAAGGTTATTACAACATCCAACTAACATGTTTTTCTGTAATGTTGTTGCAATTTCTTGCACCTACATGGAACCCACTCAATCAATGACCCATTTTGGTGTTGTGAGGACCCCACAATCTAGGAAAACACTAAGATCTCTATGGCCAAATTTCTACCCTTCCCCAGCCAGGACAGAGAAGGCTAGAGGAGCTGGGAAGCAAGTCAGAAGAGGCAACAGCACTTCCAGAAATCAAGTAGCCATCTAAACTCCATGCTCACATATGTCAACAAAGCAAGTCAGGATACAAGCTGATTAATACCAAAGGGTGCCCCTTCCTGGTTTGGGGAGGTGGGAGAAAAAAAAAGGGGGGGGAAAGCAACAGAATTCATACTCTTCAACTCCACTAATAGGAGAAACTAGGACCAAATTTAATTGGAGGAGTGATTTTAAAAAACCACCACCCAGAGAGAGACAAAAAGGTCAGATGCTTCCTACTCCCAAAAAAAACAGATCAGAACAAACATTCCAGAGTCAAGGTGCCCAGGGGACAATTGAGGCAAACAAATCTAACAAAAGCACCAGGTGAGATGATAGGCTAGGTTTACGATATACCTAAAAACTGCTTAATGCATTTTTAAATCTGAGACATGTCTCCTTTTAAGTGGAAAAAATCCACTAAACTACACGGCTGAAAGTTGGGTTTGGAGTTGCCTGTGCGGTTGCCATCTGTGAACTTTAGCCTACTTCAGAGCTGACAAAAGCAGCAGTGTGTTTAAAGCTAGTCCAACACCCGCCTGCTTCTCTTTCCCCACCCCCCCACAACCACCACACCGAACAATAGACAAGGGAGCAGCCCTCTCCAGGAAAGCGAGTTAGTTAACCCATGCAGGACCACACCAGTGAGCAACAAGGAACGAGCCAAACGCCAGGATTAAGTTAAATAACCTTTAATTCGTGTAAATTACACCATTCATATAAACAAATAGTACTACAGCCAAAAAAAAAGCAGTGAATAATCCAACACATTTTCCAAAGTCTTTATAGAACAAAGACAACTTTTAAGTACAGAAACGTGCCCAACTCAGTGCCGTGGGAGGCAACGGGGGGGGGGGGGGGAAGAAGTGATTCGATATCGACCTCAGCGACATTTGAGTTTTATATAAAAAAGGCAGTGGAGACATGTATGAAGTTAAACTGTATACAAACAATTCACAAGTCTTGCTGCCTTCCAATGAAGCTTGGATCAGGCCGAGGGGAAAAATGACACGTTTTAAACTGAAAATTAAACTTTTAAAAGAGGGGGGGGGTTGGCGGTAAGACAAAGCCCTCCCCCACAGTCAAATGGAAAGTGTAACCCCTCCCAAGAAGCCCAGCAGCTCAGAACACGCCTGGTCCTCTACACTTCCTCACTGTGGGTGGGAGAGGGAGGCTGCTCTCCACGTGGTTGTAGAGGCGCTCCTACTGGGGGAAACGAACATTTCAAACCCAGCTATTCCCTCCCTCCAAAAAGAAAGGAGGAAATGAGAACCAACTGAACCCAGTCCTGGTCTCTCTCATCAGTCAGAAGAGAAGGGAGTCGAGGTGTTTCTCAAAAGGCGACAATCGCCCTGCTCCAGGAACCCATACTGCCCAGTACTTGATCGCAGCAGACCTGGCCACTCTCCCCTTCACTGCCTTCCTTGGTCAGGAGCCCGGAGAAACTGGACCCGAAGACGGTGATGAGACTAGAGACGTTAGGGGAGGTCTCCATCTCCTCTTCCTCCTCTTGAAGGGGGATGCGGGCGGCCTTAGGGGGCACTGCCGGCTCCTGCTCAGTCCTGGCCCTTTTCAGCGGGCTAGCGGGTTCGGTCGCCCCGGGCTCGGCGCTCCTCCTCTTGCGGGCGCACGGGCAACTCGGTGCCGGCTCGCCGACCGTCCGGGACGGGCAGCGGGCCCCTTGCTCTCCGGTGTTGCCGCTGCCCGCTTCCGGCCCCTGGCAAGGAGCCCTGCCCGCTGCAAGCCGGCCCTCGGAGGGCTCGGTCTTGGGAGAGTCAGAGTCGGGCCAGCCGCGAAGTTGCACCCTGTCCGCGGCTCGGTCGCCGTCAGTCCAAGCGGGGAGCCGAGGCTCGGGCTCGCTCCTTGGCCCCTCGGCCCAGCCGGGGGGAGGCTGCCCGCGGGCGGACGAGTCGCAGAGTCTCCTCCTGGAAGCCCAGCTGTGCGGAGTTTGCATCTCCTCGGGCGGCTGTTGCTGCTGCTGTAGGGAGAGCTCCTCCTGCTCGCTCAGGTAGACCTCACGGGCGCTCCTCAGCACCAGGGACACCAGCAGGTTCTTGTGCAGCTTGATGCCGCCCCTCTGCACCCGGGACGAGTAGATCTTGCCCAGGGAGATGGTCATGATGCGGTGCGCCTCAACCTTGAACTCCATGGCTTCCCGGGTGGCGAGGGCGCTTTGGGGTGGGGGGAAGCGACACCCTCTGCCCCAAGTAAACAAACAAACAAACAAACAAACAAATCACCGCCGCCGGCTGGATTTAGACCAACAAGAGGGGATGAATGTCCGGGAGGTGGGGGTCCCGCCTTGTGCCCGCTACCCACCCTCGGTCCGCTCCCGCCGCCGCTCCGGAGAATTGTAACCGTTTTGAACGTGTCCCGCTATTTATAATCCCCCGCCCACGTGGTCCCAGCCAATCCACGCCGACGTGGGCGTTCCACCCCGCCTCCCCGCCCACCGCTCTCGACCAATCGGAGCCCGAGCAGCCCGCAGCTTTATTTAAATCAAAGCCCACCTCCCCCCACAAGCCCCACCCCCCAACCGGACGCTCTTAAAGCCGCACCCGCCTCTTCTTCTCCACATCGCCCCCCCCAACACCCGCAACCGTTCTTAAAGGGATTTCGGGTGGACACCTTAAAATAACACACTACCACATCAAAGTCTTTTTCTTCTCCCACCCATTTCCGCCTCCCACCTCGCATCAGCGGAAATTGCTGAGGAATCTCGCAGCTCTGGTAGCATCCATGTAGAGAGAAAGAGACATAATGTTTAGAGTTCTGAGCAAGGGTCACTAGACCCGAAACATTTAACACTGGTTTCTCTCCACAGGTGCTGCCAGGCCTGCTGAGTTTTTCCAGCAATTTCTGGGGTGTTTTTTGTTTCTGGTTTACAGCATCCGCAGTTCTTTTGGTTTTTATAATGTTTAGAGTCCAGCAATCCTTGTTCTCAGTCCTAATGAAAGTCATTGGACCCACAAGGTTAGCTGTTTCTCTCTGCACCAATGCTGCTAGACCTGCTGAGTTTTCTGCTTCTGTTTCAGATTTCTAGCATCTACAGTTCTGTGTTTCTTTGGACCCTTCTTCACAACTGGTCTCAAAACATTCACTCTTGTTTTCTCTCCATAGATTCTGCCAGACCTGCTGGATTTCTCCACCAATTTCTGTTTCTGTTTCAGCTTTTCACCATCCGCAGTTCTTTGTTTTATTTTTAAGACTTTTTTCTCTTTTTTTCTTTCATTTTTCATTCTTTGTTGGGGTCACCCACCACCCCCTTGATTGCTGCAGCCCATTTCAACAGGACAGGGCCGGAGTTAGAATCACTTCGTAGTAGGTCTGGAGTCACATGGAGAGGTCATGGGGTCAGACCGGGTAAAGGCAGCAGATTTCTTACCACTCCGCCCCCTGCCCCACATCACCCTAATAGGTTAGTGAGCCAAATGAGGTTTTTTGGGGACAATTTGTGCATATTTGTCATGTCTGCCATAGAATCACTTTTCAATACCTCATATTGAATTCAAATTCTACCAGCTGCCACAATGAGATTCAAATGTGACCTCCAGATTACAAATCTAATGACATTCTCACCATGCCACAAGTGTGATTTAAACAGTTAAAGACACTGCCCTCACGCAGTCATATATGGTGCAGGAGACCCTAGTATAAAGTCATGGAGCCATACGGTACGGAAGTAGACCTTTTGGTCCAAATAGTCCATACCGACCATGTTCCCAAACCAAACTAGTCCCATCTGCCTGCTTTTGGCCCATACCCCTTCAAACCTTCCCAATTCATTGCTTATCCAAATGTCTTTTAAATGTTGTAATTGTACCTGCATCCACCACTTCTTACGGCAGTCCGTTCCACACACTGAACACCCTCTGCATAAAAAAGTTGCCTCTCGTGCCTTTTTAAATCTTTCTCCTCTCACCTTAAAAATATGTTCCCTACTTTTGAACTCCCCCACCGTAGGGAAAAGACCTTTGCTATTCACCTTATCGCTGGCCCTCATGATTTCATTAACCTGTATAACGTCACACTTAATCTCCTAAGCTCCAGTGAAAAAAGTCCCAGCCTATTCAGCCTCTCTTTATAACTCAAACCCTCCATTCACAACAACATCCTAGTAAATCTTTTGTACATCTTTTCTGAACCCTCACCAGTTTAATAATATCCTTCCTTTAACAGGGTGACCAGAACTGGACACAGTCCACTCCGTGCTGATTAAATTGATTTGAACTATCTCTACAATGACAGGAACAAGCGCAGCCTTTGTGAACAATAACTTGGTTGCTTGCTTCCATTTTGTGATCTAGCTCATGTCAGATTTGGATTGGAGAAAGCCAATAGCTTCCATTGGCAAACTGAGGTCCTCAGGAATTGTAGGCAAGAGCAACGTGCATTTACAGAGCACCCTTTGATGTAATAAAGGCATCTCAATGCACTTCATCTTATTATCAGACTAACTTTATCACGAAATCACATGAAAGAGAGGTGATTATAAGTGATTAAATTTAGTTGGTCAAGGAGGTATGTTGTAAGGAACATCTCAAAGTGGGAGGGAGAGATAGAGAGAAAGAAAGGTTTAGGAAAGGAATTCCTGACCTTAGCTGCCAAAGGTAGAACAATTAAAATTGGAGATTGGAAGAGACAAGAATCAGAGGCATTTTTAGGAGGTTATAGAAGTGGATGGGAATCCAGATATTAGATGGAGAAAAACCATGGAAAGATTGAAAAATAGGATGAGAATTTTAAAACCAGAATATTCCAAGACTGGGACAGTTGTAGGTTTAAAAAAATGCACTGGGATGTTGAGCGACCAAGAGTAGCTGCAGAGATTTCAGGCACAGATTTAGGTTGAGGTTAGTTTAAAGTCATAGAGCTCTACAGCACAGAAACAGACCCTTCGGTCCAACTCATCCATGCCAACCAGATATCCTACATTAATCTAATCCCATTTTCCAGCATTTGCCCCATATCCCTCTAAACCCTTCCATTCACGTACACATCTGTATCTTTTAAAAGTTGTAATTGTACCAGCCTCCACCAGCTCATTCCATATACGCACCACCCTCTGTGTGAAAGCATTGCCCCTTAGGTCCATTTTAAATCTTTCCCCTCTCACCTTAAACCTATACCCTCTAGCTTTGGACTCCACTACCCTGGGAAAAAGACCTTGGCTATTCACTCTATCCATGCCCCTCATGATTTTATGAACGTCTATAAGATCACCCCTCAGGGTCCGACGCTCCCAGCCTATTCGGCCTTTCCCTTTTGCCCAAACCCTCCAACCGTGGCAACATCCTTGTAAATATTTTCTGCACCCTTTCAAATCTAACAACATCTTTGCTGTAGCACAGAGACCAGAACTGAATGCAGTATTTTAAATGTGGCCTAACCAATGTCCTGTACAGTCACAACATGACGTCCTATTTTACAGATTGTGTAGGATGGGAACCTGGCCAAAGACAGCCATAGAATAATTGAGTCCTGGGATAACAAAGGCATGGATGACGGGCCAACAGCAGACGAATGAGGCAATGGCAGAAATGGTTAATGCTTTAATGTTTTGGAGTAGATTTGTAGCTCGGGTTGTGGGTGTTGAGGGTTCTCCACGAAGAAAGCCATTAATAAACACATAGAACTTGACCCCGTATACACTCCACTACGAAGGAAAACCAGAAGTGAGGCAATCCAGCTCAACAGACTCCAGAGTTTAAAAACCAGGTGGGAAAACACACCGACTCTTCATCGGAGGCTGCACTGATGATATTACCCAGCATAGTAACAAAACGTCTACGGAACAACAAACCAGCTCAGTGAGCCAACCAACCTCATGGTTAATGCTTGGCAGAATGAATTAGGCCTTCTTGTCAATGGAGTGGTTACAGGATTGGAAGCTCAACAGTGGGATCAGACAGCAAGCCTGGATTGGGATCAGACAGCAAGCCTGGATTACAATCAGACTGGTTCAGCTTCAAATGATTTCCTGAGAGAAAGAGTTGGAGTGAATAAAAAAGGAATGGAGTTTAAGGCAGCAACCAAAAACAATGGTTGACCTGCTATTTATTAGGAGGAAATGGCTGTTCCTCTTAGGCAGAATGTTTGATAAGTAGCAGGACAAATAAAATACTGTGAATGGGTCGAGGGAGGTGATGGTGATGCGGAACCTAACAATTTTTGGGACGATGAAGGGCAGTACGAGAAGAGAAGAGCGCCAAGGGTTGTTTCTTACAGAAAGCTAATTGGAAGGTTTCAAATGTGCAGGGAAGACAACCTGATATTCAAGGGGAGGAGGGAGGCTGGTGGTGGGACAGTGCTTTGAAAAGACAGAAGAGTCAATGTAAGAAATAGAAGCAGGAGTAGGCCATTCAGCCATTCAGCCCTGCCCTGCAATTCTATAAGATTTTGGCTAATCGTCCCAGGCCTCACATTCTCTTGTGTGCCAGCTTCAGGAATCTATCTCCTCTTTGAATACTATTAATGATCTAGCCTCCTCATCTCAGTTTTAAACGACTATCCCCTTCTCTGTAACTCTTTTCCCCAGTTTACATTTCACCTACTAGTGGAAACAGCTTCTCAATATCTACCCTGTCAAACCCTTAGAATCTTGTATGTTTCAATAAGATCATGCCTTGTTCTTAACTATAATGAAAAAAAAGGCCCAGCTTGTTTAGCTGCTATTGATGGGTCAACCCCTTCATTTCAGGAATCAACCCAGTGAATCTGTTTAGAACTGCCTCCAATGCCAGTACATCTTTTCTGAAATTCTGGGACAAAACTGTACGCAGTACTCCAGATGCAGCCTCACTGACACCCTCCAACTGTTATAACAAGACTTCCCTATTCTTAAACTCCAATCCCTTAGCATGGGCTTGAGATGGGATCTATGATGTGAAAGTGGGATGTGGTGGTGGGCTGTATAGTATGAGGACTAGAAGGACCTGATGGACTTGATTTGATTTATTATTGTCACATGTAACGAGATACAATGAAAAGTATTGTTTTGCATGGTATCCAGACAAATCATACCATACATAAGTACGTCAGGGTAATAGAACAGAATGCAGAATATGGTGTTACAGCTACGGAGAAGGTGCAGAGAAAGATCAACTGTAATATTTCAGAGGTCCATTTATAAGTGTGATAACAGCAGAGAAGAAAGCTGTTCTAAAATCTGTTGGTATGTGTTTTCAAAATTTTGTATCTTTTTCCCAATGGAAGAGGGTGGAAGAAAGTATAACCAAGGTGAGACGGGTCTTTGATTATGTTGGCTGCTTTCATGAGACTGTGGGAAGTATAGACAGAGTCAATGGAAGGAAGGCTGGTCTTCATGATGGAGTGGGCT